AGATGGGAAGGCAGAGAGGGTTATGAGCTGGTTGAATGGACATGGGGAATCAGGGGTGGAAAGGAGGAGTGTGCTGTCACAGTATGGGGAGAGCAATTAGGGTCACATAACAATGTATATATAAATTTTTGTATCGGAAAAAAAATATATAGAAATGGCATCCTTGGAAAATTGTATTCTAATGCCAAGAGAATAGGCTAGGTCAGCACTGACCAACAGAATTTTCTGTGATGATGGAATTGTTCTGTAACTGGGTAGTCCATATATGCCTGCTGAGCACTTGAAATGTGGCTAGCATGACTGAAGAACTGAATTTTAAAGTTTATTTCATTTCAATTAATTAAAATATAAATTTAAATAGCCACATGTGGGAAGTGACATTGAAGAGTACAGGTCTAGGGAAACTGGAATCTAGTCTGCAAACTTGATTCAAGATACAAGTGTGAAATGAAATATACCCTAGATGCCATCCACCTTGCAGAAAACTTGTTCTTTCACATGCCTGTGGCTATGATAAATTAGTCTACCAAATTTCTTTTTGCTGAAGGCTGATATGGAAACTGTTGGGACATCAAGAACATCTATTCTTCATATTCACAGCCCAGTCAATGTCATTTGGGACTTGAGGAGGGGCTCTTTGTCACCAGGAAAGAACAGGCTGGTAACAGGTCACCAGTTCTCTAATGTGTATAGGTTGCTTTCTAGGCTGGCCCAGGATGTTTGGGGGACTAAGAAAGGCTGAGGAAGACAACACAGGTTAATAGCATTACCCACTTCAAGTCATCCAACTCAACAAATCTGCTTTCCTACCTGGAAGCTCTACCTAGGCTAGAAGACATGGAAATCATGAAGATGGCAGATAAAAGAAAGCAATCTTTGCAAAATCTGGTTTGGAGACCAGAAGTATAACTATATGTTGAAGTTGACCATGGAACAGATCCCAGGAACATTAAGTTATGTGTTCCCAGGCCTGTAAAGCTCTCTGGATTTATTCCACCTTAAGATAATGCAGAACCTTTGGAGGAATGTGGTACACTCAGCAACTCCAGACAACAAATAAAATAAAATAATTTTTTTCTTTTCAAATGTCTAAAACTTCAAACTTTGTTCTCATCCTCAAACTATTCATTTTTTGGCCTTTGAAAAACTAATTCAAGTTAGAAAACTTGCTTTGAAAAGTATATATATGTTAATGAAGAAGGAACAACTCAGAAAATGGCTGCACAACTGGAAGAATGTAATCAATGTCACTGAATTGTACACGTAGAAACTGTCGAATTGTGTATGTTCTGCTGTGTATATTCTCAATAACAACAAAATAAATTTTTTAAAAAGTATACATACCTTTTCCAAACAGCATGAGTATTACAATTACCAACGATGTAACAAATGCTAGTATAAGCAACCACCTGTGCCTTGAGTGATCTGTAAAAAGAGAAAAGAAACACAATTAGCTGAACTGATCAAAATAGAGATTATTTCCAAATAAACTCATATGCACAGAGTTGATACATATCAGGCCCAGTGTTATTTATAAAAAGAAGCAAATATTCCACTAGAAGGTGGTTTCTGACCATCACACACTGTTAGTGGAAGTAGAATTTGATATCCCATCTTTGGCAGGGCAATTGAGCAGTTGTAGATAAGAGCCTTAAAAATTGTCATCATAAAGCAACTAGGCACTGTGCTAAGTGACATACCTATACTCTCACTGAATTATTACAACAGTGGGCAAATGCCTTAACTACCTAGTACCTCAGTTTCCTCCTGGGGTAACTATAAATGGGACTAATAAATATACCTACTTCTTTGTGCAGTTGTGAGCATTATATTGGTTAATTCACTTAAGAAAAGCTGTTAGCTATTATCATTAATGTATAGGTACATACTATTGGCATCTCTGTTAATATCGTTTGGTTAAGCACTCGGCTGCTAACCAAAAGGTTAGCCGTTCAAAGTCACCCATGGCTCTGCAGGAGAAAGGCCTGGCAATCCGCTTCCATAAAGATTACAGCCAAGAAAATTCAACAGGGCAGTTCTACTCTGTAGCTATGAGTCGAAATCGACTTGATGACACCTAACAACAACATTAATATCTTTTGACCCTGAAATTCCATTTCTAAGATATTATCTTAAGGAAATCATCAGTAATGTGACCCCACCCCAAATAAAAAGGACCCAAAGATATTTACTGCAGGCTTACTTACAATATCAAAAAGCTAAAACAACCTAAATGTCCTCAAACAAAAAAGTCTACTATGTCTGTGAGGTGGACTTATCCAGCTAATAAAAATCCAAAGGCAGAATAGCTGAAGATAAGGGAAAATGTTTACAATGCACTGCCAAGGGAAAAAGAAAGCAGGTCGGTAACAACAAGTACAACAGGGATGAGTGGGTGAGAGTGAAAGGATGAGAATACAAACACACACTACTCACTCTTACAACACAGGTGGGCTGGAACAGACTGGGAGTCACCTATTGGTTGGATTTGAGAGGACCCTGGCCAGAATCTGCTAGCCGCCCCTCATCATCCATTCCCCCCTCCTCAGTAACATAATCCAGAATTTTAGCAGGGCATACTGCCTGCCACCCAACTAAAGATGAAATTCTCATCCTTTCTTGCAGGTTGGTTTGGCCACATGACTAAGTTTTGGGCAATGAGATCCAAGAAGGGTTATGTGGTATTTCTGAAAAGTCTCCTCATAAGGCACGCCACTCTCCCTTTTCTGCATCCTGCTGCCTGAAATACAATGTACAGGTGCATCTCTAGCAGCAACTGCCTAGGGAAGGCAGCAGGAGCCGGACTGCACCTGGCCCTCTGACAACTTCATAAAGCAGGAAAACACCCGGGGCTGTCTATCTCCATTTTTTTTTTAAATGCAAAAGAAGCAATCTACATTTTTAAGCCACTGATCCCCCCACCCCCCTTTTTGTCAATATTATGCAGCTAAACCTAATTCTAACTGACACAGTCCCTTCCAAAAGCTTCTCTCCCGTGGGGTATCACCCGATGCTGTTATCACTTAGAGACAGCAGATATTTGAGGAAGATGACAACAATGACACTAAACCAAAAACCAAACCCACTGCCATCAAGTCAGTTCTGACTCATAGCAACCTCATTACAAGTTCTTAACTGTCTGTTCTTCCTTCTTGGCCTGTCCATCGCATTGACAGTTGATCCCTCCCTCTTCACTTGGCTTCTGAGAAACCACAGTCTCAGGGTTTTCTTCCTACCTCCCTAGCAAATCATTTCAGTCTCCTTTGCTGGATTCTGTTCCTCTTAATGGCCTCTAAATGCTGGAGTACCAAGATTCAATCCCAGCACACTCCTCTCTGACATCTGCACTCTTTAAGTGATCATGGCTAGTTCCAAGGCCTTAAATGCCCATGACACCCTAAGTATGCCAAAATACATCTCTCTAGCTCTGGTCATCCACCTGAGATTGACTCGTAAATCTAAGTGCTTTACTTGACATCTCCATTTGAAATCTAACAGGCATCTCAAGCTTAATACAGTAAAATCTGCAAAAGCCAGAACCTGTGTAAGGTGGAAACCTGTCAGAGAAGGAAAACTCAAGTATTTTTCACTAACAGAAAGTGATTTAAAAAAAAGTTGTAAGACTGCACACTGTTAAAGGCAGAAAACTTGCAAGACTCGGAAAAACAGGGCAATCCCGTCCAGTTCCGGCTCTCACAGGTTTCACTGTATGTCCAACCTGGATTTTTTATTTCCTCCTCAAACCTGCTCTTCCCCAGTCTTCCCAATTTTTGTAAACGCTAACACTATTCATTCAGTTGCTTGGGCCAGAAATCTAGAAGTTGTTTGAGTATTTCTTATTAATAGGCACCTCCCTGCCCCATCCAAACCATTAAGAAATTCTCTTGGCTCTATTTTCAAAATACGTCCTGAACTGAACCATTTCTCCCAACCTTCACTGCTACCACAGTAGTCCAAGACACCATCATCTCTTGCTTAAACTAAGAGTTTCCAAATTGGGAGCATGAACCCCAGGGAATACATAATACGGTCAATTTAAATACAAAAAAATTAGAACCTCAACTTATATTTATTATTTGTATCCATTCTTTGAAAATTTTTTTCCTACTTGTATGTGTTTTAAAATAGATGATACAAGTTATATTCATATAGCAGCACACTGGTACCCAAACTCGGCTTCTTCCTTTGGCAACAGAACCTCAGTGTTTTAACTGGACACAAGGCCAGCCAGCTAAAGATACACTTTACAGCCTCAGGCCTCAGCCTAGGTGAGGCCATGAATTCAGCTGTGGCTATGCACATATGCACGAAAGTCGTGTGTGCTACACATGATTGGCTCTTAATGCTAAGAGCTATGCTCTACTCTTCCCCTTTCCCACTTGCTATGAAGCACATAGAGATGTGAATCAAAAACCAGTTGCTGTTGAGTTGACTCTGACTGATGGCGGCCCATGTGTGTCAGAGTAGAATGGTGCTCCATAGGGCTTTCCATGGCTGATTTTTTGAAATTAAATTGCCAGGCCTTTCTTCTGAGGCACCTATGGATGAACTCAAACTGCCGACCTTTTGGTTAACAGCCAAGCACATTAACCATCTGCACCATCCAGGGACAGAGATGTGAACCTGTCTGTCTGACTCCAGGGAGCACAATTTTTAAGCCATAAATATTTCAGCATATATTTCAAAAAAGATAAGGATTATTTTAAAGGCATGACCAAGCCATTATCATACCTAAATGATTAATGTGTTTAATATAATCCAATACACACTCACTGTTTAAATTTATTCAAGATTTTTTGTTTTGGGGGGGGGGTGTTTCTATTTATTTATTTATTTTTGTTTGAATCAGGATCAACTAAGGTCCACATATTGCAATTAACTGATATGTTTCTTAAATCTCTTTATTCCACAGACTCCCACCATCTCTCTTTTTCTTCCCCTCAGGATTTATTTATTGAAGAAATCTGATCACTGGTCCTATAGAATTCCCCACTGTTTGCAGTGTCATTTAATATATTATTGTGACCACTGTATTTCCTTAATTGATCAAATTCAGGTTTGATTTTTTTGGCAATAATATTCCCTAAGAGCCTTTGTGTCTTTCCATCAGATGGCATATAATGCCTGGTTGCTTTTCTTTTCATGATGTTAACTGCCACTGCTGATCATTGTCTAAGTCCCTTATTTTACTAAGCATTTGCAAAAATGACAATAGTCTATGTTTCATGAGCAACTATTTGTTCTGTAAGCCTTCACCTGAAGTACAATAAAAAAAAAATGACAATAGTCTACTGTTCTTCTTTTATATATTAACAAAAGTATTTTTATAATGAGAAACTTCCCCTCATCAACAACGTGGTTACTCTGAGGTACAGTTTGTATAAGACAGAATAAATGCTTGATTCCTTCTCTTTATTTACCAGTTTTCAAAACAATGAGTTGGCTCCTAAGTATCCTTTAAAGCTGACCAATGGGTTTCTTTTATTTTAGTATCATTATGAACTCATAGACTGAACATAATTAATGTGTTTCAATCTACTGCAGTTGTTATCCTTATTGAAGTCCAAACTGTCCCTTTGGCTGGTGGGAACCTCTTCAGAGTGGCTCCGGAGTCCTGTTGATACAAGTCTTTGATGGCTTCTTGACTGCGGTAAAATAAAATATTCCAGGTTCATCTTAATACATTTCATGCCCTAGACAAGGCATCAGCCATTTGTCCAACAAGCCTAGGTTTGTTTTATTGGGAAATGGTAATCAGAGATCATAAGCTGGGCTAGGGTGACCAACCATCCTGGTTTTCCTGGGACTAAGGAATTCCCTGGGATGTGTGATTTCAGTGCTACAACCAGAGAAGTCGGTTGATTTAGGATGAACTGAATTACCCTAATCTGGGTGGAAGGGGCACACTAATTGCTATCCGATTTGTTCTTGTTTCTAGAACTTTTTAGTGGACAGAACAGGAAATATGTAATTTTTTAAAAAGATAAAATACATTATGAGTTTATACTGACACTAGGTTGAATCCCATTCAGTTGTCAAGATACAACTGTTTTTGATCTCAGAAACAGAAATTTCCTATGATTCAATTTAATACTTCCAAACAAATTCAGGGCTATGGTTTTTATGTAACTCAATCAATCTTACATCTAAATCTTCTTTCTCCCATGACAAACTTCCCAATTTTCAATAACACCAATATAACTATTCATTTGCTTTTTCCTACAAGACATACTCAACAGTCTGAGAATATCACCATTACTGCCAACTATATGACTACTGAAAACTGGTTATTATTTTTTCCTTTGGAGTTCTTTTTATCCTTAGAGTGTATCCTACTGGGGTATATAGTCAAATCACTATGTTTTAAAAAAACTTGGAATAGTTCCTCCCTTTGGGGTTATACCACCAACTTAATTCACAGTACA